TGTTATTTAACCAAGGATATAATAACCATGAACCATTATTTTTCCTGTTATTTAACCAAGGATGTAATAAACTTGAACCATTATTTTTCCTGTTATTTAACCAAGGATATAATAACCATGAACCATTATTTTTCCTGTTATTCTACCAAGGATATAATGAACTTGAACCATTATTTTTCCTGTTGTTTAACCAAGGATATAATAACCATGAACCATTATTTTTCCTGTTATTTAACCAAGGATATAATAAACTTGAACCATTATTTTTCCTGTTATTCTACCAAGGATATAAAAACCATGAACCATTATTTTTCCTGTTATTTAACCAAGGATATAATAAACTTGAACCATTATTTTTCCTGTTATTCTACCAAGGATGTAATAAACTTGAACCATTATTTTTCCTGTTATTTAACCAAGGATGTAATAAACTTGAACCATTATTTTTCCTGTTATTTAACCAAGGATGTAATAAACTTGAACCATTATTTTTCCTCTTATTTAACCAAGGATATAATAAACTTGAACCATTATTTTTCCTGTTATTCTACCAAGGATATAATAACCATGAACCATTATTTTTCCTGTTATTCTACCAAGGATATAATAACCATGAACCATTATTTTTCCTGTTATTCTACCAAGGATATAATATTGAACCATTATTTTTCCTGTTGTTTAACCAAGAATATAATAAACTTGAACCAGAAAAATAGCTTAGTCATTATTTTGCAAAATAATTAACACAGCCAAACCTGTCACGTAATAGAGAGGGTACTCAAACGATGAAACAATGCATTCTGATCTCCATATATAACGGCAGCATATTTAATTAGCTTTACTCATTAACAGTTAGCTACGATCTCTGTGGTTAGTTTGTTTTATTAGAAGTTTGTCATAATTTATTCTACAAATATGGTGCTGAATAATATAGTACAGAGACGAAAATGTGTTTATACCAGAAATTATACATTGTCAATTTTTAAATTTTGTCAACCTACGGAAAAAACTTTTCATTTTAAATAGATACAATATAATTGATATTAACTTCTGATCAAAACAACTTATCCATTTATATAAATACTAAAATTCAACTTAGTAATGAGTATAACTAATTAAACACACTTTTCTTACACATAAATATTAGAATGAATTATTTAATCGGTTGAATTAACTCGTTGTTAACAATATTTTCGGCCATAAACCCAATAATATCTTGCAAGGTTCAGTCAGTTAAAAGATTTAGTTTAGCATTTATAATGAAGACGACAAACAACTTCAGATAAATTAATTAATCGCCAGTAACTCAAGCTTAGCTTTGCCATCTATCGGCAGTTCGTAATATTATATTTCTTAAATTTTATATTATCTGTTATTGGATAACAACACAATCAACCCATATTACTTGTTGATTTTGTACGATTTTATTTATTTTTTAACCATAAGTTAAGCAGTCGAGTTTGACGAAGATTAGTCATAACTTGTTTGAAAAATTATATTTTAGGATTTCGTTCAGAAGGGAACTATTTTTAATGTGACATTATATATATATGTATATACATAACTTACTCATGGAAAGATATAACGGATATTCTAACACAAACACACATACTTTGTTAGTTGGAATTATTTAAGAGTTTATTTTTTAACTTCCACAAAAATTGTCTTTATCTAAAAAAATCTCAGTATTATAACTACATTTAAGTGTCTCTGTCCAAAAAGAAAAACTACACTCGAAGAAGATATTTGATTGAATTACATATCTGTCTATGAAATAAGCTGTGATATGAGTTAAAATATTAGTTGATAAAGATATTTTACTGTTTCTAATTATGTATTTCCTGCTGTATAATGTATCTCAAGAATTTAGCCAAAACATGAAAGGTACGTCTTTTCGATGCTCAAGTTCTTAATAGCAAATGTTTCAGAATAATTATAACTTAATTTTTATAACAATTTTAGGCCTATTTGTTTCAAATACTTCGCCGGCTTTCCGTTTAAACCATAACTTATAAATTATTTTCTGCATACATAAATAACGTTTCATAGGATTGTTTGTCTTTCATCATTCAACCTAACTGATTAGTTCTGGAATTGGAAGGTAAATGCTATAGTGTTCTCGTAGCAGCTACTAAGATTTAGAAGTCAAAATAGACCTGTACTATTATTTTTACCCACCTCTAATTTTGGGCCACCATGGATAAATTAAGAGAAATCTGAAAGAAACACCTGTAGTTAACTTGATTTTTTTAAATAAAAAACAGTAACTGCTGCCATTTTTTTATTATTGATTTTATTCTTTTTTATATGAAATCATATTGAACCGAAGAATTTCATTAAGCTAAGGGAGGAGTTCTACGAACTCTTTGAACTCATCAGCGATAAACAATGAAAAAGAACAGAATAGCTTTAGAAATCAAAGAATAAAAAAAATAGAAACAAATCGTTTTATTTGAATCAATTTATATATATTATTATTAACATTCTATATCATATCCGACGATAGCTCAGTTGGTAGAGCGGTGGACTGTAGTTAGAAAATTGTAATCCATAGGTCGGTGGTTCAAATCCGCCTCGTCGGAATTGTTACCTTTTCCTCTTACATTTAGCTTCATGGTAATAATTATGGATTGCCAAAATGATGATAAATACACATTGATTGTCAGTACCATGTAAACATTTATCAAACACCGACTTTTTGCGTTATAATCCTTGAAGTTAACCATTACATGAAAGAGTTGTTACACAAAACATGAGAAGAAAAACTTGGATAAAGAGTAAAAAAAACTATTGTCACGTCTAAATGAAAACGTCTTTCTAGTTTATTTTATGTGTCCAGCTGACGCCCTTTGTCAAGCAATAAAACCGCATTTACTATCTGACGATGGTGGTCTGCCTGATACCTCGCACTAGAAAAAGATTTCGTTTAGACGTGTCAGTTCAACCTTTTATTATATTTTGCCTGAAGTTCACCGCCGGTCCAACGAGAGACAAAAGAAACTATAAACAATGTAGTACTAAGTTTTTCTCGTAGATGGCACTACATACACACTACTTCTAAGAATAAAAAAATACGCAATTACCAATTTTACAAATTAATTTCTATAGTTACAAATAGATTAAAATCAATAATTTTCAAGGGCAAGTAACACTAAAAAATTATTGTGCGTATACTCCCTACAATTTATCATTTTTTGTTTGCACTGTTGGATCCCACATCGGTTTGAGTTTAGGATATTTTTAACTTAATTTAACTTACGCTTAAATTATATATAAATAAATATTATTTTATATTCTATTTGCAAAGGCAAAGAAAGGAGTGCATAAAGTCATGAGTCTAACCACACAAACTTATATCAAATTCAAATTTCAAAACATATTGTTATTTTTTACCAAGAGTCTGAAAGGCTTTAATCTTTCTGAAATTAGCAAACAGAAACATATACAAAAGTTTAAATGGGTTTCAAGCGAGACCCAAAATTCAAGCGCAAAGTTGTAATGGTTTTCGAAAGAAATCCAATACTCGAGCTCTCGAGTTCTCGGTCTCTTTTGAAAACCATTGCAGACCTTATTCTTGTTAACTCATAAGTTATTCATTTAAGTATGTAAACAATTTCAAATGATATCCAACTTATAATTTTATTTGTTGTTGTTGTTTTTTATATACATATATCTTAATGTGCCTCCAGATATATAAATTAAATAATAGGTTGAACTATCGCCAAGTTTTTATATATTTTTATTTGAAGAAGGATGGCTGGGGCTCTTCATCAGATAATACATAGGTGGAAAATGATCTTGCGAAGAAAGATAG